AAAAAAAAAAAAAAAAAAACTAAAAGTGCCAATGAATAAAAAACATTCACATGAAATACTTAAGAATCTGGGAAGGCCAAAATTTAAATAGCAGCATTTATTAGGTCTACCATTTGGCTTATAAAAAAACATATGAATAAAATATATAGAAAAGTACAGAGTTCTAAGTTTATGCATAAGAATCAGTAGGCCTAAAAGCTCAACATACCATTAATGAAGAGAAGATGTAATAGGAACAGGGTTGGGATTGCAAATTGATATTTCATTCAATCAAGCAGATAAGATAGTTGATATAGTAGGTGCTACCATGGTGTATGACCCTCCAATCACCATAGGTAATCGGGTCTCAAACGAATATAAGTGGATGTTGTAAGGTAAATGGTATTATTACTAAAATGAACACAAGTGTTGTGCATAAACGTTCTTTCCTGAGATAGGACTTGCAACTGGACTGTGAACTACGGTCTGCTTGAGTAACATGTTACCCCGGTAGGTCGGAATAAAATCCTCTAACGACAATTGATTTTTTTCCCTTCAACAAGTTCTGTGACAAATCCAAACTGAACTTGCTTGGATGGACCAGTTGGCATTTCGTACGGATACAGCAAAAAAAATACTCTAATGAAGGAGAAATCACCTGAATAAAAATACTGTAATGATGGCTCACGTGCAAGAGCTATTTCTATGCAGCCTCCTTCGAAAGCCTAGCTGACCAAAAAACCCAACAAAAATATTGAATAAAAATTTGGTTGAAGAAGAGAAATCATGAAGTTGAAGCAAAAATAAAAAATCAAACGAGAGAATAAATGAATAAGTAAACCTAATTATTTTCAGTATCTGTATCAATCATTTCCCATCTAATCATCCTCATTTGAAGTCAGGATAACTCCACAAAAGATCGAGAAGTAGAACCCTATACTTTTACTACCCATTAAAAACAAGAAGCACAAACGGATATAAAATTTCTAATTGAATTTCCAAGTTCCAACATTGCACTAAAACATTAAACAAAATGGAGAATGCACAGAATAAGAACTCAGAAACCTCATTTAATTCAAGATTGAAAATTCAACTTGTGTAAGAAATTTCAACTCATTTAGCCTCTGAATAGTGCATACCTCATATGAAATAATTTTCAACTTGATGATCAGGTTTGCCCCATCAGCTAAACCATCTTTTTCAGATGCACCGTTGCTTTCATTCATAGTTTTCAATACAGCATTACTTGGCAAATTCTGCAGCTCTGTATTAGCTTTCAATAAGTTTAGATCCACAAAAAACCATGGTAAAAGCAAGAAGGATTAGAAGCTCATTACAGTAAGAGTTATCACTTTCAAAATGCATGGCTGAAAACATATGTTTACATCTTGCAACTGAAATTGTGCTCCCTCACGCTAGAGTTTGTATTCTGTATGTTTTGCATTTTCTGTCCAAAAAGATTCAACCAATTTTTCATATACATCAAATTTATTTTGAAATAGAAAGTTCGGACGTGTGTTTAAATTAGATGAGACAATCAGCAAAAAAAAAAAAAAATAACAGAGAGATGGATTTCTATTGAAGTAATATGACATACCTCAATATAGCGGTCACAATTCTGGCTTGAACCTGAGACATGTCAATTTCTTCTTGAATAAAGAACACACAAGCGAGAGAACCTTTATAATCAGACCTCATCTTTTTCTACCATCTTTAAATACCAACCAACAAGGCTCCAAGTTGGTTGAAGATTCTAACCAACAATGGCAGTTGAAACAGGTAGTTAAAGGCTCCAATCTGTTGGAATACTTTTGCAGCTGCTGAGGAATCTTCAATTCGAATCCAAGGAATCAATTTCCTTTTAAAAAGGATAGTTATTTCAGTCCAAAAGAACTACCTAAAACAGTAGAGTAGAATGTAGACATACTTCATTCAGTTATTAATGTCGTTAAAGTAGACCAAAAGTTATTGGAAAATTTTGATTCTGGAACAAATAATGCCATTGAAGAGCTCAATTGTAGCTATGGTAGGAAGTCTAAGCTAACTAAGAATTTCTCTAGAGAGGTTTGCAGGGTCAAAATTCTCTCTCATTTGTTGCTAAATGAGATGGGGTCAAAGATGATGCAATTGGAGATATGCCATTTGTTCTCTGTAGCATTTGCTTACTCTTTAACATTTGGAGAGAGATCATTTCTCTATAGCATTTGCTTACTCTCTAGTTTAAGAGAAAGCAAGTATATTTTGTTGGAATCCATAAAATGTATCATAAAAAAGCTCAAGTGGAACCAAAGAGCATCATTGAATCTACAGTTTATTTAAATAGTAAAAATTACACGATATGCACATTTAGAGGAGAACTACATACCAAATCCACTGTCAATCAAGAAATTGTATGTATGCACATCGCAAGACTATGTGTACTTGTGCTGTTGGAAGGCTTCTTTTGCAGGCATTAGACGGCAATGGTATTGAAGTTTCCCGAGTAGGGAGTGTGCTATGCCAGGACCAGAGTTTCTTTTGCAACAAAGCTATAAATCAAGCCTTTCAGATTCATTTCTTACGCCACACTATGTAAACAATAGACACAATAAAATACACCCATCAGCCTGCAGAATAATTCAAGAATAACATACCAAAGTTTATCCAAACTCAAAGAAATCACATTATTTCCAGTCATTCAAACAAATTAAAAAATATAGACATACATAAATAAAAAGTGAAAAGAAACCACCTAGTATGTTAATCAACTTCTGAATATAGAACACAGAACACAAATTACCAAGTAATTTTATGAATTAACAGGCAAGATATTTAAAAGAAATCCCAACTCAATTACACTTTTCAGAAGACAGAGATTACAAAATTATAAATAGGAAAAGTTTCTTCTTAGGCCAAAAATTACAATTCGCACAAAATATTTACGAAATTGTAAATATACAGAATATTGAATAACCCAATACGGTTAGCTAATTCCACAAATCCCTACCCTTCCCAAATAGCTATTACATTTGTAAAAAGTGCTACCTACCTTACCTAAATGACTCTCTACTCCTATCGCTTCCATCCTTAACCATTACCCCTCTTTCACCGACGTCAAATAGGCCAGTACTTAAGGATCTCCCACTGTAGGCGAATCGGAACTACAGCGAAGAAAGCTGAGCTCTGCCCCTCGTGTCTACCTCAGCTGCTTTCTCCCTCAGCAAAATCGCTAGCTCTTTGTTGTAATTGTTGCTGCTCCCCTTAGAAGAGGAGTTTCTTCTTCTTAGTTTCAGAACTTGAGATTTTTGAGTAGTGAGATAGGATTTTCTTTTGTGGTCGAGAAAGGAGAGAGTCTTGAGAACGAGGGTTGATGAGAAGTGTACGTGCTCGAGCTCCTTCTCCGTCGCACCGGCCTCCGCGATGGATCCTTCCTCTCCTTCGACCTTCCGGGTTTGGAGGTAGGGTTTTGTTTCGTATGGAAGATTAAAGGAGAGGAGAAAAACAGAAAAAAAAAAACCGTGTCCCCGTGCGCGCACGGGGAGTTCATTTCTCTCCGTGAGCGCGGGGTTCTCCCCGTACGTGTACGATGAGTTTCGTCCCTTTTTCACTTTTATTTGTTTTTATGTTGCAACGATTTTTTTCCCTCTACTTTAATATAAATCCAGGTATATTTTTTGGGGAGTTTGTTTCTGCACAACTCTTCAATTGTAATACAAGCATTGCATTTTTCTTTGCCTAAGCTAATTTTCTGATTTTCATAGACAAAAAGAACTAACACTAAATAAAGAACATTAAAATGAATGCTTCAAGAATATTTTGGAGAGTGGAACATCTATTTAAGAAGATAACCAGCATGCATTTAACCTAATAGAAATATGAACATACAAAAATACGGCTGAACAGAAATGACAAAGGTAGATACAGGTAAGCCAAGTAATCAAAGATTAGGTGACCAGCAATAAAGAAACGAGTGTCGCAGACAACAATATGAAGAAAGCCCGATGAAAAGATCTATAAGCATAATTTCTAACAAAACAATTGTATATAAATACTAAACATGCAAAACCAATAGAACGAAGCATAACTTTTACGTAAATACTTACAGTGAAAAGCAATAAAGGGTAAGAAAACCTCAGGTTTGTGTGCTGCAAGACCAGTTTTCTTATTCCTATCCTACAAGCTGAAAAGGATGATAATGGAGTAAAATAAATAATTTCAGAATTTCTTATATTTGTAGAAGTTAGAGAAGACCACTTTACAACGATGTGTGATTGCAGTTTCATTTAGTGCATTTGCATGTTATATATATAGGGTAGAAAGTGGTAAAATACAGTAAGTCGGTTGCAGATATTTTTTTTTAATTAAGGCGGCAAAATTCACCGCCAAAGCTTGAAGAATTTCATAGAGGAGATATTTATGCACGGGAGATCGCATCTCGCCGTGCGCACACGGGGAGTTTTAAGTATAATTTTTTTTTTTTTTTACGACTGTGGAAAATAATATTTGTTAGCAATTAATAATCACTTTTAATATAGTAGGGACAAAAATCGAGATACGATGAACAGTAACCGACATGTCGAGACTAAATCACCTAAAAATGAATAGAAAAAATAACATACCAATTGATATGTGTGAATAAATTAATTAAAGTGGGCCTTTATTTTGTTAAAGTTGAATTTGAAGTCAAATAAAAATGGAAGGAAGACTTACCTAAGGGCATAACAGTACGTAACCATTTAAAATAAGGAAGGTATGACACTGACACACTGTTACATAACCAGTTAAAAAAACCATTTAAAGTGTAAAAGGTAGGTCACGGATTGAATAATGGAATTCGCATCCTCTCTTTTAAAGGAAAGGTGATATAAGTCAAATAAAGACGAAAGTAAAGGTGATTCTATCATCAATTACACATGGCATGTTACATAATCAGTTCCAAACCGGTTCTTCATGTGAAAAGTAGGGCACGAAATGAACAGTGAATTTCGGATCCTCTTTTTTAAAGGAAGTAGGAAAAATCGTATATTTTGGTAAAAATTTCAACATTTTCAAATAATATATATAAAAGAAATACATGAACCCAAAACCTTAGTTATTGGAACAGTGGCGATGAACATACATTGTGTTAAAAATAAGGAGAAAATCGAGCCAATTTCTTGCCTAAGTTGCTTGTATAGGTTCAAACTTTTTGCCCTTTTATCGATTTTATTTTATACTATGTAAGAAAAAATCGGCCGGAGAAAGAAGAAAATCATTTGTGAAAATGAGGAGTGATTACTATAGAGGTAGGGTGGGTTACTGTTCCTAGGGGTAAAAATTGCAATAAAGGTAAAAAGAGAATGGGAAGAAGACGAAGTGGAAATGAGGAGGAAGTGCGTTTCGTATGTGGGCTGTGTGATGGGTTTGAAGTGTGGTACAATTTTTCAACACTGTCAAGTTAGAATTTAATGTAGAACATGTAGGGGTGAATACGGTTCGATTTGGACGGTTTGTGTCATATTTTCAACTCAAATCATTTCATGCGGTTTGGAATTTTTTCAAACCAAACCAAACCATAATTTTTGGGTTGGTTTGGTTTTAATCCGCGGTTATCGACCTTATAATAATATATTTAAAATAAGTTAACATATATGTTTAAACGAGAATTAATAATGTTAAATTTTAAATTACATTATCTTTCTTACGAAACCCGTGAATAAATTATTTTCAAAATTGGTTACTAAAAGCTGGAACGAATACATCTTTCTTCCTTTTTATTTACCTTTTCTTGTTAGCCTTTCATATTGTCATATAGTGGTTGGTGAAGACAGTCACATTCTACTGTAATAGTTTAGTTAAAACTCCTCTTCGTCCTACTAGTGAGATAAAAAATAAGGATTGAAAATGATATGTTTAAATATACAAAGAATGATAGAGTTTATGTTTATTCGAAATTTACAAATTTTATTCTCTAACGACTTTAAGAAAGTAGAATGGAGTAGTACTAATTAGAGAACCTTAACATTTTCACACAATCAATACGCTCCATCCTTTGTTCTTTCTAAACCACAAACAAATTCATTAAATTAGATATCGGGTCAGAACGTGTATTGTGGACTATAAAATCATCGGCCAATAATGATGAACTTAATTTACTTTATATGATTATTTCAATGGGTTGATTGTAATTTGTACTGTTAAATTGGTATTTTTCCTAAAAAGTGAAAACTTTAAAATTTTTAAGTTAATAAAATTAATTTTTAATTAA